GAGCCCAGCTCTGCCTGCCTGCAAAACCACACAGAGCCTTCCTGCAGAGAAGGTCCTGAGGGGTGAGTACCTCACAGCCCAGAGCCGTGGTCCCCAATCTTTTTGGCACCAGGGACCAGTTTCATGGAAGACAATTTTTCTGCAGGGGATGGGGGAGGGGTTGAAGGAGGAGAGGGATGAGGGATGAGGCAGAAAGTGGATCTCGGGCAATGATGCCTCCCGGGTAGCCTTACTCCTGGCCGCGGCCCTGGCCCAGAAGACACGACAACCTACTCAGCTCTCCGCAGCAGATCGGTGAGGAGCACATGAGGGGATATTGTAAGTTCAGTCATAATCCCTTGAAGAACTTAATGGTGTTTGGCAAGACACGCCTATTTCCAAGAGAAGCACTAAATGAAATAAAACAGCCTGATGCACGTACTGGAAGAAAATCCCTAGAATTTTACCTAAAGGTCTCTTATGAATTGTTTCTGGTCACAAAAATTTTTTTGACAGTTATAATCGCATTACTTAGTATAATCCGATTCATTTGAGATCTTGATTACTATGACTATTTATAATACACATTTAGTGCTTTAGGGATAGTTTCTCTTGAACAAGCGTGTCACTGAATAAATAGCATGAGAGATAGAGGAGGAGGTCTCTGTCCTCTGATAAACCTTAGGCCTTCCAGGTGTGAACGCCAATTGGGAAAACACATAACTGTTGGCGAGAACCTCCTCGGACAGTGCTGTTCAAGAGAATGGTCTGTGATGAGGGAGTGTTCTGTATTTCCACTGTCTAAGACGCTAGCCTCTAGCACGCATAGACAATGAACACATAAAATGTGGCCAGTGAGAATGAGAAAACGAACTTTTAATTGTATTTTATCTTAATTAATTTAAACTTAAATTGCTCCCGCCATGCTTACGTGCTACATGATGATTAAAACATAGTGAAAACATGTTTAATTAAAATGACTAGTGATATTTTCCCTCAAAAAAGGACTAAAGTAAGAGAGATTAAGAACTGTACAAATAAAAACTAGTGATATTTTGGTAGCTGGTAGCTACCGTCTGGATGGTGCATAAAGCCTGACCTGGTTATGGGTTGGCAGCTACCTCTGAATTCCTGAAATTTCTTGCATCTCCAGAATTGAGGCTTATTATATACGAAATGTCCTAACCTTTCACATACACAGAAATGCTCATCACACCTTGGGACAACAGGAAACCAGTGAGCAAGGTACTACTCGGAAGAGGTGTCTGTTCCAAACTCAATTCTAGGTAAAGCTTCCCCTGTGGTCTCCAGCAGGAAAAGACATGGTCCTTCCTCGTGGCTTTCCCGAGGGCAGTATTTCCTCCCCTGTCCCATGCTCTCTCCGCTCTTCACTCCTATTCCTTCACCTGATCACCCCGAGTTGCGTACACTCAGACACAGAGCAGCCTGGGCCCCCAGGCCTGGTGCACATACTGGAAGGCCACTCACTGCATTGGTTAAACAAAACTCACAGGGACAGATCTGGGAAGAATTCAGATACAGGAGACGCAGCATTATGCACAGGGACAGAAATAGTCACATGAGTCTCACGAGTTTTCTTCACATGTAAAATGTAGAGCAGCTGTAGCCAGACATTTCAAATTCAAGCCCTACATCATTTTGTGGGACTCATGTTAGTAAAAAGACAGAAAAAATATTACTAAAAATCCAGAACAGAAAATTGATAAATTACCTTAATCCAGACAAAAAACACCGTGACAGCAGCTACGTTGTTGAACTGTATTTGCCAGTAGGCCAGATGCTCAAAGTTGGGGAAAGTATTTTGATCTTCCAGAAACTGTAGTAGCACCCCCACATTTGATGTTCTGTGTATGTTAATTCCTATAGCTACTACTGATAGCTGAAAAACAAAAGGTTTCTATTTATTATAGTATCTTAGAAATATATAACTCACCTTAAAGTAACTATAGTTTTTCTTCACCAAAGTATTAATTCTTAGAGTTCACAGTTTCTTACCCAGTGGCATTCATTTTTTTTTGCAGTTTTTGGCCGGGGCTGGGTTTGAACCTGCCACCTCCTGTATATGGGGTTGGCGCCTTACTCCTTTGAGCCACAGGTGCCACCCCCCAGTGGCATTCATAAAGTCACTCACTCAAATGGGAAGTGCTCAGCACCAGCACACAACAGGTAAAGCAACACCCGTGAGTGCTTCCTTTGTGAGGAAGAGAAATCCCGTGAGTTCACGAGTATACGTGTGCGAGCAAACAGATCCATGTGCACACACACATGTGCAAACGCGCGAGTGATCACACTACAACAAACTCTGACAGGAAAGCTTTCTGTCTTTTCTTCCACCTGCATTTACATCGTTTCCTACCCTTTTGCTTTCTTGGTTTCAGTGGCATTTTCTGTTTTTGGTTTTCTTTAACTAAAATAGATTTTCTGGTTTCACTTCATGCTCCAATTCCCATCCATCCTTTTCTCTGTTCAACAAAACCGCGGGAGATGTCTCTGTACAGTGTGCTGTGAGGGGGACTGAGAGGAACCAGCGGAAGCCAATTGTGCAACTCTGCCCTCAAGAAACTTAGACTCTGGTTCGAGTTAAAAACACAAAGTTAAATAACACACAAAAAACCCTCCTAATGTCGGCATCACATAAAGTGAAGGGTGACACAAGACTTTTTTTTTTTTTTTTTTTTAGTTTTTGGCCAGGGCTGGGTTTGAACCCGCCACCTCCAGCATGTGGGGCGGTGCCCTACTCCTTTGAGCCACAGGCACCGCCCAACACAAGACATTTTAAAAAGAGTGCTTAGAAGAGGAAAGGATGAGCTTGTTCTTAGAAGATCTAGGGCTGACGAACCGAGAGGGCTGCAGAAGGCTCGCGGGGGGATGTGTGAGCCACGGCTTGCCTTCTTCCTCACTTCTGCCCCAACTCATGACCTCACAGCTTTTCACATCTGCTTCGGTTCTGGGTTTCACAAACAGATCTGAGGGGACACGGTCCCTACTTAGCATCTGTCACCACTGGATGACCATGTACGCATGTGGACAGTGCTGGAGGTCACCCATATTAATGTGGCCCCACATGGGGTCTGACTCTGCCCCAGGTGGGCTGTGGCCGGAGCTGCGACCTTTGCTCTCCATTCTTTCTGCTCATAGATGATGGCAGCCCTTCCTCAGGTGGCTGTCGTGACTACGGACCCAGGAGAGTGCCACAGCAAAGGGTAGTCTGGCTGCTGATTTTAGCTAAAAAGCCAACCTCACCATCTTTCTTTTCTTTATCTGTAAAGGATTTTCAGAACCAATCTTGTATTTTTGTGCTGATGGCAGGAATATTCTCTGTGAGCTCGCTGGGGTACACTGAAAGTATCTTTCTGTTTTTGCTGGGAGGGGTGAAGATACTGGACTAGTTGGCTGGACCCAACAATAACCCTTTATCCACCTCTGACAAGGTGTAGTTGGTTATACAGTTCAGTTGTGTTCACTCTGAACAGGACAGATATTTATAAAAATACGCACTATACGGTTGTTTACATAGCTCACAAAATATCTGCTGAATAAATGAATTAATCATTTTCACCTTGTTAAACCTAGCAATCAACAAAATTATTTGAGTTTAGAGTTCTTTATTATCTCCCCGCCACCCTCCCCCCCCTCCGTGATTCTGCTAGTTTAGAGACTAGCAGTTTTGTTGCTTTGGACAAATAGCTGACTTTGCCCATAGACTTCAGAGTATTTGTTGGAGAAACAAAAAAGGAAAATAAACAATTTCTAAGTGGTTTCGCGATGTAATTATATTTACATGTAGAACATAATTTCTTTCCAGGTTTCAGGTGGACATAAACAAATCTGGGCTAGATACGACAGAAAGCCTTGGGTCCTGTCACGGGTTTGAAGGTCCAATGCAGCCCAGGGTACATGTTAGGGGGTTGTGGAGCAGAAAGCATGATCTTACTTCCACTGTCAGGAAACAGTGCAAAGGAGAAGTGGGGTTCCAGGAGCCTTTCCCTGTTCTTTATAAAAGCACACTGTCTGAAGGTTGTTTTGAAACTTCTTTTTTTTTTTTGAGACGGAGCCTCAAGCTATCCCCCTGGGTAGAGTGCCATGGCATCACAGCTCACAGCAACCTGCAA